ATTTCATATATACCGATCAGGTTTTTTGCTTAATATAATTGTTTTTTCAGCTATTCATTTTTATTGTTATTCCTTAATTTTCAATTATTTTTTTTATCAGTTATATCAGGGATTCAAAATCATTTTATATAATATCAGACAATGGAAGTTCGAACTAATGAAATTCATCATGAAACATTGTTAATCACTTTCAAACATGGGGAAATTGTTGATTAAAAATATTTCAATAGGAAAAATGAAGTTATCGATTCAGATATGGACGTGACTGCTTGGTAATATGAAAACGCTGTGTATTTGAATAAATTAGGCGAATTTGGAAAACAACAGTTGGGGTGGGCTTTTGTTGGAAGTATCAATAAATAAATAGGTGATTGGTAACGGTTTTACTTTCATTTCATTGCCGCAAGAAATCGCATTAATGTACGATTATGAGGCTCTACGTTTTGATGATGACGAGACTGAAATTAAATTTCATTATTGATGGATTACAAACATTCCGATTATCAATCACCCAATTGAATAAAGAGACGAAAAAAATTTTGTAATGGATGCCTCAATCATTTTTCAAGTCACCAGAAATTAAATGATCATACTGTTTCGTGCGAAAAAATGAATTACTGTAAAATTTCTTTTCCTATATGTGGAATTTTGAAATTATGTTTATAAAAAAATGTTTGTTCATTTCGTTCGTTCGTTTATTTATTCATTCAGATTTCGAGTCACTGTTGGAAACATGTAATGAAAGCATATTTAACCAAATTACAAAATACGAAAAACATATACCGTTCAGTGCAGGCTACTACTTAAAGTGTTTCTATGACGACAGTCTTTCTCGTTTCACTTTCATTGTATTAGTTTGAAAATGTCCATATAGAGCGAATCTGCAGTAACGATGATTACAAATAAAAGTGGTAAAAAACGTAGAAAGTTTCATTGATCATTTTCAATGAAGTTAGTTTTATTTTAACATAACCATGATTGTATTATGTTAAAACACATCGATAATGATTACAAAAAATCAAAGTATCCAGCATAGCGACACGGTTTTAGAGCACACCAAGGTGAGTATTCAGAACATCGTTTACATCTTGTTGAACAGCTCCATGTTCGTGGTATCATTGTAAATGAAAACTTGTTTGGTATTACTTTCGATGTACTGTGTGACGTAAACGTAATCTACGCAAAATGTTGTGAATGGACCATATTCATCTGTTCATATTCATCTGTCAGAATGTCAATGCCATCAACAGCAACTGATGTTCGTTTCGAGCGGCTATTTCGTGTTGCTCCAACGCTTCGCCTATTGCATTTAGAGTTCCATTTTAATCTTCACCATCACTGTCGAACACTTCAACTTCACTACCGTAAGCACTATCGAGAGACATTTTTGTTTTCGAACTGAATACCCATTTATGTTGGCATGAGCTCTTACAGCTTCAGATCACGTGGTCAGTTTTAGATATTGTGTGTGTGTGTGTGTGTGTCTGTGTTCAACGACAAAAAAGGCCCTTCCAATACAATTTCAGTGTGCTTGTTTTCTATAAGATTCTATATAAAATCGACGATTTCGATTCAACTCTTATGTTTGTTATCCAAACCGAGCCATTTCACGAACATATTTTTTATCTTTTTTTCTTAACACTTTTTCCACGAGATATATACCTGAGTTTACAGTTTTTTGCACTTCCTCCCCATAGAACGCTCCCCTAATAGATGCACCCTGCATATCTTTCAGCATATTTTCAGGTGGGAATAAACCGATTTGAGAATTTGTTTTCCGTTAGTTTAGGTGATTTTCAAGGGTTGTATGCCCATTTTTGAGTGTCCCATTTGATTATATTGGTGTACTTGTCTCTCTGAGTGCCTTTCTTGTAAGCGCTCGATGAATTTAAAATAATTTTGTATACATGCAAATCCTCAGCATTATTGTTTTCAGGCGTGTCGAGAAATAATATTTCATATATACCGAGCGTTGCTTTCCAGTGTAACCCAGCCACTTTTATATATCCGCTATGCTTGTTAAAATAAATTTCCTTTGGGCCTAGGAGCCATTCTGAAGATACCTCGTCATATATGGGGCCGTATACTTTGTCGATTTCTTTGTTATTTCCTCAATGGTTTTAATGTACAATTGAGACATTATCGGATATTGATCGATTCTTCTAAAACTTTTTCATTTATATCTCATTATCCTCATCTGTAGCTGCAACATGTACATGGGATTGAAATGGATTCGTTTCAGGCTCTTCCACTATCTCTTGTTTGAGTTTGATTTTTGCCTCAGTTTTTAAAGGGGTGGTAGCTGCTTGTGCTGNATTAATTGGAGGGGGTAGTTGTTTTTTTGTAGGATATTTCTAACTTTGTTCAAACATTCATCTCTTCGGGTTGGGCTGCTGAGATATATTGCTCTATCAGCTATTCCTATTATTACACTTTTTTATGTTTGAGGGGGTGATTTGAATTATAGTTAAGATATCTACCTGTATGTTTGTTTCGTGTACCATTTGGTAAGCATTTTATTATTAGTTCTGATAAGTGTTATGTCTAGAAAGTTAATTGTTTTGTTT